GGCAGAAGGGAGAGTGAAGAAAATCCAATGGCAGGTCACCAGTGGGTATCCGCTGTTTTTACCGCCCAACATCTATACCGCCTTGATTTTCTTTTTGGGGAACTACCCTTCCCTGTTTGGGGATAGTCCTTGTTAAGATTTGCATTTAGGCACCCCTCAAAGGACAGGATAAGTGTATGACCCAAGCTAGGGCAGTCAGATGCTGTCTTCAGGACCTGGCTCCTGAGTGCAGGAGCACAAAGTCTTTCAGCAGTGGAGGGCGTCCTTCCCAGTGGTGATGCCCTGAAGATACTGTCCCATAGCTCCTGCTGCCTATATCCACGGGGCTGTCCTTTTTCCTGCCCTTCATGAGCCTGGATCTGCAGCTTTTCTTGCTGCCGTCTGGTGAATTTACTTTTCCTCTCTTTGTTTTCCCGTTGCCTTAAGTTAGCCGGATTTGGTCTCCACTGCTCGTAACCAAGGATTCTACACAAATGCACTTTAAAAAAACCTTGTTCAATACTGCAATTTAACCTGTTCCCCTCTGTAGCAGCAGAGAGCAATCTAAAATACATTACTAAATGCCCTGTCTGAAGGCATATATACCTCTAACATTTCAGTTGGAACTTTGTGGGCCTCTCTTCAAACTCTGCAAGGAATTAAGCAGCCTATGTGGCTTTCTGCAACAGCTTGGATTTACTAGGATTTACTTTGTCTCTTGAGGTCCATTGTTTAACTTCATGTTGTTTTATAGTATCCATTCTTCAAGAGAAGGAGAACATTTTATTTTCCCCATTGCAAAAGTAATATAGCGTGGCTATTTTAGAAACTATCAAGCAACAAAAACCACCCATAATCACCAAATATCCACTTCTTAACATTTTGCTGTACTTTCTTCAGTCTTTATGACCATACATATATAACTGATGTACACTTTACAAAAATGAGATCATATTGTTTTGTAATATTTGGTCATTTTTTCATGTCATTAAATTTTTTCAGTATAATTTTTAATGGTTGCATAGCATTTTTGCCCTGTTGTATTATTTATTATTCACATTCTTAGCTAATCTACAATTTTTTGGGTTTTTTTTATGTGAGTTCCTAAAAATTAACATCACTTTTCTGTACTGGAATTGTTGCAAACATTGTCAAGTGGTATCCGTAGCCCACACTAATGTCCCTTTGGTTGTGGGTAGAATGACCACTGGTAAATGAAACAGGTGCTGTTTTTTTGAGGTCCAGGTTATAGGCCTTGCACAGAGCTTGTCATGTTGGAAGAGTTATAACAAGGCTGAAATGACCTTCAGTCCAGCAGGCCTTTTGCAACTTCTTCCTCCAATAATAGGTTGTCCCGGAAGAGAGTTTGTATATAAGCCTTTGGTTATCAACACACTTTAATCTTATCCTTGTACCAAGCTCACAGAGGTATGCTAATGAGAACTTTAACTCTCCTGGACTTGACTGTAAAAATCCTTTTTCAGTAGGTTTCAGAAAGTGCTACGAAGTCTGAGCCCAGTAATGTGCAAGGGGAAAGAGAACAAGGTTCTGGATGTCCATTTGCTTTCCTGAGATGTGAAAGTTCTTTTGAACGGGAGAATCAGGTAAGAATGACTGTTTTTCCTTGGGGAGGGAGGGAAGGAGGGATCTTGAATAATCCTATGTCTCAGAGATCTTGAAGAAACCTTAAAGCTTCACCTCATTTTCATAGCTTTGGAAACGCCCTTTGCCAAATTGTTATTAATACTTTTTACTGTCACCTTCTTGAAAAACAGGGACCTCAGTGTGGTGCAGATGTGGCAAATGGCTTGCTATTGTATCATGAGAACCTCATTATTGAGCTTGTAGGATTATGACAGATTGAATGGGAACCATTATGAAATCTAGAATCCACTAAGATACAATCATTGGCTAAGCCCTCCAAGGTGCATTTGCATTCTGAAGGTAGACAGGCATCTGCTTTAACATTTGAATTCAGATTTTAATCATCAATGACAAATAAATAGTGCTAATCCAAATTTTAATTTCCCTGAAGGTGATGGTAGAGTCAGCTAAAGTGGTTCAAAAAGAATGGTAATGTGTTGGCAGTAATTCTGGCAGCTAACCAGAGTGGTGAAACACATGAGGTAGATCATTCAAGTCCAAGTAAGAGGTGGAAACTAAGGTGAAATCAGGTGCCAGTGTTGACTTGTGTAAGGGGTTGGCAGCAGTGATGGGTTCAGTGGAGCAAAACTAGAAACAAATAAGAGTATTATTTTGTATCCTCTTTGTTTGATATGCAGTTTCTTACCACGTGACCACTTTTATATACACAATCTGTGGGTCAGTGCTCTGAGGTTGGGAGGTCCAGCTGTTGGTCATCTTGGCTAGTGGGAAGGCTCAGAGAAACCCAAACTTTGAGCAAGAACTAGATATACTGGGTTCGAGGTTTGCTTGTGAAACAGCAGCTAATGACTAATAAACATTTGTAGATCATTAGAGTTCCGAGGCATATCTTAGAGGTGTTTCCTCACTCCTGGAGACTAAGGCGTAGACCTAATTCGTTGTGCCCTAGATTTGAAGTTGTCCCAGCTGGTGGTGGTAAAGGTGATTATGGTGGTGAAATGGTTGAGGAAACCTTCTCAATAACCAGGAAATTTGGGAAGATGTTTTAGTCACTTTGTCCACTCCCACTTCAGCCTTAACTCTGAAGTGTCTGCTGTTAGACTGATCTTTGACTTCTAGTCTGGGGATTGCAAAATCAAATGCCTGCACAGAACAGTCAATAACTTAGATGGATAAAGCCTGCTGGGTAGAGACTGGCAGATTGGAGAATGAATGCCCCCATCGAACGAGAACAGCAGCTACTGAGTTTTAGGAAA